TTTTTCTCTCCTTGAGGCTTTTAATACCTTTCTCAAGGTTATGATTAAATGCTTATACTTTTAATTTTCAATTTTTTTAGATCCCCTGTTACTAGTTTTTTAAAATGGTTATATTTGTTTTATCACTGGATTTGGGGTATTTTTAAACAGATTTATTTTTAAGATCACTGTGTTGATATCAATTTGAATGTTTTGGCCAGTTTGGTTGTGTTTCTATTAATTTTTGAGCATAATATTTTTTAATATTTAATTTTTTATAAATTTTTGTAAACTTACGTACATTTATTATTTATTCAATCCTTTAGAATTCGATTAGCAAACTTTAAGCCCTGGTTATAGTGATATATTTCTTTTTGTTTAAAGGGGGTTGTTCCGCTCAGATTTTAAATTCCTTCCCCTTTTACACTCTCCTTCTTTTTTTGTTTATGTTTTCTTCCTCCTCTGTTTCCCCTCTTTCTGCAATGTTTTGATTTACTTCTGCTGGGTGTTATTTAACTCTAAAAAAAGGGTTTGGTAGAGGCGTATATGATTCTTCTGATTCTAATGGAGAATTATTTGACAAAAGAAAACATTAAATGATTGTGGTGTATTTCTCATCTGATTGTCATTTACATATTCTGATTATATAATTTATTTAATTTGTAATTATCTTCCTGTATTCATTTCTGTAATTTGGGCCATAATTTCTACCTTGATTGTAATGATTCTGGCCTTGATGGTAATAATTTTGGTGTCCATTAGGTAATAATTTGCAGCCATTAGTGGTACAAACGCAGGCATATTTGAAGGATACTAGACATGTTATTAAACTGATGCAAAACCTACCACTCACTGATGATAGTATATTAAGTACAGCGGATGTCACCTCATTGTACACAAATATAGACCATGATGGGGCAATTGAAGCAGCTAAGTGGGCATTGGATAAGTACTCTGATTTGCATAAAAGACAGAAAAAATATCTTATTAAATGTTTAAATTTTTTCTGTCTTAAACACAATTTTTTTTGGTATAACAACAAGTATTTTTTACAAATCAAAGGAGTAGCAATGGGGGCACGTTTTGCCCCTAGTATAGCAAATTTATATATGGCACAATGGGAGGAAGACACAATATTTAAATATCAAAAAACAAGAACTCATAGCATACTATCGCTTTATAGATGACATCATTCTAGTATGGAGAGGAGATGATATATCACTAGAGCAATTCTATATAGAATTAAATAAGAATCATAACAACATAACACTTAGCTGGAATAGCAGTGATACATTAATTTTTTGGATATATTATGCTAGTCAAAGAAGGATCATCTATCTCTACAAAAAATTTTTTTCAAAAAAACACTGATAGAAATTCATATATACCTACCCATAGTTGCCATCATAAGGCATGGATTAAGAACATACCCAGAGGGCAGTTCACAAGACTGAGACGTAATTGTACACATGATATAGATTATCAGGAACAGAGTGACATCCTTGTAAAGAGATTCATCAATAAAGGGTACAAAAAAAGAGTATATAGGTGAAGAAAGAGATAGGGTAGGTGCATTGGATAGAAGTAAACCTAAAAATACTAACAAAAAGTCAGGATAATAATAAATATGGACAATGCTATGACTATTATAATGCCTTATAACAAGCAATATAAAGATGTGCAAAAAATAATTAAAAAATATTGGGATATATTAAAACTGGATAAAGATCTGAAAGATAACATTCCGGATAACCCAAGATTCATCTACAAAAAAGCTCCCCAACATTAGAGACAAGGTAGTAAAGAACATATTAGATCCCCCAAACAAAAACATACTCTCGTTTTTTCAGGGAATTGGTTTTTATAAATGTGGAAGATGCTATGGTTGTACTAGAACAAAGAATAACCCCAGAAATAGATTGCATTTCACTAATCCAACAAGTGGAAAAATATATTTTAAGATAAATCAATTTGTATCATGTGACACTAAGGGGTAATATATGCATTAAAATGTCCGTGTAATAAAATCTACATAGGAAGAACAAAACGCATGCTAAAAGAAAGAATAAAGGAGCATGTTAGAAATATTTCAAAAGGATATAAAATATCATAATGTATCATTACATTTCAAATTATACCATGGTCAGAAAACAGAAGGACTAGAATTTTGGGGAATAGAAAAACATAAGGCACACTGGAGAGGGGATAATCTTATCAGAGAAATTAGTAAGAAAGAATCCCAGTGGATCTATCAAATGAATTCTTTGCATCCGTTGGGATTAAATAAGGAATTTGATCTAGCTTGTTTCCTGAGTGATTATTGATATTAATACGTATTAAGGAGCATAAGAATATATTTCTTATATAGAGTAAAATATTATGGGGGAAATATAGATGTATTAATGTTAAAAACGTTAATTAAAGATTAGTATATAAAAAACAATTTTTAATGGGGAAACATAGATGTATTAATGTTAAAGACGTTAATTAAACATCAGTATATAAAAATAATTTTAAGGCAAGGTTGGTGCTTTAAGCACTTATAATACAACACCTAATATTTGAATTATTGAATATAAACATTTAAGTAATAGGTTTATTTTTATTTTATTTTTTTCTAATTTTAATTTTATTATTATTTTTATTATTTTTATTTTATTTTATTTTTTTTTATCTTTATTTTTATTTTTATTTTCATTCTTATTTTTATTTAATTAAAATTTTTTTATTTTATTTTATTTTTATTGTTTATTTTTTTTTTCATTTTTATTATTTTTTCATTTTTATTTTTATTTTCATTTTTATTTATTTTTTTTTATTTATTTTTTTTTAATTTTTTTTTTTATAATTTATTTTTTATTCTTATTTTCATATTTCTATCTATATTTATTTTCAGCATATTTTTAATAAATTAGTTATTGATAAATTTATTTTATGGTTATTTTTTATTAAAAATGTATATAAAGGAATCTAAATGTTTAATATGGAGATACAGTATGTAAATTGTGGATGATATAGCAATGATTATTATTATCTTTATGGCGATGTAAAAGTAGGAGATTGCAATCCTAATTGTGAAGGGTGTGTGTGGAAGCATTCGATATGCAGCCAGAGGATGAAGAGGCGCACTATGCATATATATAATAGTGATAACATTAAGGTATAATTTGGACTCCTATAATATGGAGGGGGCACTAAGAATGTTGAAATCACAGCAAAAATGGCGTCGGTAGGATATATATAACCTCGGTGCAGGATGACATGTAAAACTACATCCCCCAGAGGAAGCTACGAGTCCCTGTAGCGTAACGCGTAGGGGAGGGCGGTGACGTCATCACGCATCCACAGAGGAACGGCGAGTATATCGAGTGAACATACACACACCTGCAGGGTTGTTTGCAGGAGGATTTGGATATATTTACACAAAGCGCTACTTTTGTTGATACCATGTGAGTGGGAGGTCAGAAGCTCATTAAACATTTGTTACCCAGGATAAGACACTATGTTTCTTTTTTCCCTTCTCTGTATGTATCGGTTATGGAGGAATAAGCCAAGCAACTAGAGGAGAAAGTCCTTATTGAGAAAAGCTGTGTTGAGGAGAAAGGAGAGGAGGAAGGAGAGAGAGGTTTCATGTCATGAACATTGACTTACTACGCAGATTAGATTGAACTACATTACTATCTCAATTCGTATGAACTGAACTATTATTCACTTATATAAATTTTCTTTCAGTTTATTTTTTATATATTTTTTATATTTTTTCATTTTTTCACTTTTTATTAGTTTTGTATGCACGCAGTTTTTTATGCACTGATTTACAAATATTATTAGAATTTTTTGATTCACTTTAATCATGGATTTAAGTATTATGCAATTATGGATTCAAGCATTATGGTTATAGATTATTATTGAATTATTGGTGATACACAATATTTATTCATAATTTATTTAGAGCACTTATATAGTTTGGAGCGCGGTACAATATAGATATAGGTAATTAGGCTTTATATTCTTTAGCCTCTGGTAAGTGCATATTGGTGGAGGATATGCATGGAAGTTGTGTCATGCTTTTGGACTCGTTACACTGTGCAGCACTTATAGTGGAGACTCCTGATTTGCTTTCTCCCCCTTTTCTTATGTTATTTGGACTATTTATGAATTGTTATATATCATTGCACTGGCACTTTTTTCATTATTGAATCTGTTATATATTACTGCACAGGCACTTTTTCACAATAGTGTATTTTTATTCTCTTATTTAAAAATATTTTAGTCTTTTATTTGGTAGATTATTTATGTAGCAATTACGTCTCTTTTTTTTTTTTTTGGATGCACTTTATTTTAGCACTGCACTATTTATATTTAATTTACTAGGTTGATTTACCTTTAAGTGCCAGCAGCTCTCATCTCCAAGCACTTGCTGTTTTTTCTTTTCTGCACACATTTAGTTTACATTTGGTTTATTTTATTTGCTTCGGTTTACAGTGAGCAGAATGGTGGTGGAAAAGCTAGGAACGGTGTTGTCACCTTTTTATGCACAGAGTGGTCAGAGTGTGTGAATTACAAGACTTACTGAACCGAATTGCAAATAGTTTGACCAGCAAATAGTTTGTGAGAAAATTGTGTATTGAGTTGTTTAGCAGGAATTCTGTATTTAAAATGTTTTAAGGCAGATGTGTTATGAGTGATGTACAGGGACTGTCCATTGTGGGGTCCCTTGAAAATTCTAGTTGCCTTGATGACCTTTCAGCTTCAGTATTTTTAAGGAGGTGCTTTTGTCCATCGTCATATGCCATTGTTCCATCCTGTGACAATCTACATTATAGCAGAGTGACGTAGAGGTTAGCAAATGGAACCACGGTGTGTGGCTGTGGACAGGGTCTCTTTAAATTACTGGCTCAATACAACTATTCAGATAGAGTTGAAGTAAGTTCAGAAGTTTTTATCTGCATACTTCCTTGGGGGGTCAGTGGCTTCCATGATGGTTATACTGAACATATTCTGATCTTCTGTCTCTCCAGTGTAAGATGCTGACTATGAGGAGTGAAAGTCCTGAACACAAGTACAGCTCATCACCCCTAGACTGGGTATCCCTGGACACCAGCATCGCTTACTGGCTTCACCCAAAGACTACAGTGAGTGCTGCACCTGTACATGATGAAACTAATGCAGAGAAAAATGGTACATGCAATCATCTGCCCCCTGCACAGTCTGTGCTTGTGTAATATAATAGTGCACTAATACAGTAATGCAGAGGGGCCAGACAGATACAGAACCATGACCTTTAAATACAGTTAAGACCTATTCTTTTTAATAATACACAGGCTGACTCCAACAAAGAAACAAAGGCAGGAGAAGGAGCAATGTATACAGTGACTGGCTGTCTCTATGTCACTGCCGGTTTTTAAATGTATTTACTGCTTTTTTCACTATAGCTCACAGAATTAGCTGTCACTTTCCCCCGACCTAAAAGAAAACAAAGTTTCCTTTTAGTTTCTTTCCCATAGTTAAAAGAAACAAAGTTTCCTTTTAGTTTCTTTCCCCAGATAAAAGAAACAAAGTTTCCTTTAACTCGAGGGAAAGTGACGGCTAATTCTGTGAGCTATAGTGAAGAAAAAAAAAATCCGGAAATTGCATTTAAAAACCGCCACTGACATATAGTGACAGCCAGTGAGGGAGCCTATCGCTCATATGCTATCACATAGGGGATTATTGGTCCCCTATGTGATAGCAATAAAATCATATGTTAAAAAAAAATAAATAAAAATACATGAAAGTAGAAAAAAAAAATACAAAAAGAAATTGGAGCCTCCCCACCCCCCATATATGTAGACATTTCGGTTCGGGTTTCAGCCACATGCATTCTGAATTTTCAGTATTGGTTTCGGCACCAGAACTTTCATTTCGGTGCACCACTAATTGGAACACTTTCTTCTGGGGGTGACTGCTGCATAAGTGTACTGGCCGGTGGCCACCCACCTCTGGGGTTCAGTCCTCCTTTATTGCTTTGCTGCTCCACTTTTCTCAGCACAAGGCCTGGCAGCTTAGCATTTGTTCACTCATTCTGATGATATACAGCTATACCACTAAAGGAACCATTTGGAAATTTGTAAACAAATCGCTTAAAGCGAAAGTCTGGGCAAAAACTTCTTTACATGTCCTTGTTGCTGATTTCCTACCTTCACTGAATATATCATCCATCTTCTAGTTCACTCAGTAGCTGCTCTGAAAGCCGAAAGCCTATCCATTGTCAGATCAACCCATTCATTTTCTTTGGTTTCCTGTAAGACCAGTGGCTGCTTAGCCTCCTATTCCCCCAGCCACTGGTCTTGGCACATCCCTTCTGTAGTTTTTTTCCCCACAAAGTAGTGATGTAATTCAGCCTCACTTGCAGATGTGGGGGAATGAGACACATTAAACATGTACAGGCCTAGTGTACCTGCCTACATTCACTACAATTCCCTAATGGTTGATGGGAACTGTAGTCTCCTTTTACTGCAGAGAGAGGATATAATGTGATCCCTGCTGTTACACCTCCTTGGCAGAGCAGATCCTGTTATCTTTTGAACTACAGAGATGAGGTCATGAAAATTCAATTAGACATTTCTCCTAAATGGTAAGGATTTTCTAAATGTTATTAACAGTTTAGTGTTCTGTGTAGGAGGTGTACTAATGGGTGACTTTTCTGCCTATCTCAGAGTTCTTCTTTAAAGTATGCTCCCACTTCTGCAGCCAAATTAAGATAACACCTACTTTATATTTATCACATGTTCCCATACACATCGCGTAACTTAAAAATAAGTAGCAATTTTGAATTATTTTTTAACTAACTTTGTGTGTGCTTTGAAATCTTACATTGCTTTCCCCTTCTATGTAATGTTAAGGGAAGAGTTATTTATTTCAGGTACTTGTATAGCGCCATCGATTTACACAGCACTTTACATATATATTGTACATTCACATCAGTTCCTAACCCTCAAGGGGCGTACAATGTAAGGTTATGCTTAACCCTGTGTGTACTGCACAGGCAGATGTCATTATCTATTGTAAACTAGAGGGGTACACTATGTCCTCACAAGGGTTTAACAGATCTGAAGACTTGTGAGTGGTGCATTGTATGTTAATGCACTTTTCTCAGGCTGTCTTCACTCTTTTAATTGTTTAGAATAGCTTGCAGCCACATACATACTTGCACCAACGAAAGATTGAGAAATATAAGAAATAATTAAAAAAAAAAAAAAAAAAAAAAGTATTTTAAGTATTAAAATGGACTTCAATCCGACACTTCAAGCAGGGCAAACGGTAAAGGTTTCACGAGAGTGAAATTTGCAATATTAATGTTCATTGGGTCCTAGCTAAAAATGTGCCCTTTGTTTGAGCAAAGCCCCTACATGTTTAAGACCGCTAACGAACGTGAAGCAAGTGATAGGATCATGATGTGTGGCCAAGGTTAAAACAGAACTCCAGCCACACTTTCTTCCATTTAAGGGAAGGTTCTGATCTCTATCAGATTTTTTACTCCTGTCGTTCTGTATTGAAGAGATTTTCCTTTGCTGCCCCAGTTGCATAACCACAAGTTTAAGGTGATCTTCCCAGAATGAGTGGAAATCTGACCTTTGACAGCAGTCAACAAAAAAGGTGACCCAGTTAGAAGATTTCCATTTGCCTTCTGTCATTTTACTGGAAGTGAAGGACATTGCATATAAGGATGCAGAAAGCAATAAAAACACTCAGAGGTTCAAACACCCCAATTCTATCCAAGATGGGAAGGGGTGGTGGTTGGAGTTCTACTTTAACTTCAGGTGTATTACAAAGCATGACAGAGTGGAATGTCAATTTGTAAAACTGTCTTCTTCTTTGTCTTCTCCTTTACTAAAAGTGTTTGTTTAGATATCTATGTACCTGTGTCTTGTGACCTTTTTTTATTTGTAGGCTCAGATCCAGCTCTTGGGTAATCCCATCATCTGGTATTCTGCGAACATTGGTGCCATTCTGTACACAGCCCTATTTATTTTTTACTCGCTACGGCAGAGAAGAGCAATTTATGACATTCCTCAAGGTAAGGTTATAAGCGTACCAATGCGGAGTACATTTTTATCTGCATTACACAACTTCAGAGACATAAGTAGCAAGAGAAAGTTCTACATACTCCCAAGTGCTGCAGATTAGCAGTGTGTAATAATGGGTGCACATAGACAGGGGTATGAATGGGAATGTATAACCACAATCAAATAATAATGCAATTCTGTATACCATATATCTAGGGAAGTATGTGACCCGATGGTAGCATGTGACAGTTCAAGCCTTGTGTGTCCCAACTGGTCTGTGCAGGGATTAAGGTGATGTTATTTTAATTATATGATTAAGCTTCACAACAATGTGAAAAGAGGAAGACCCTATAGTAATCCTGGCACATGCATGATGAAGGGGTCCTGCGGGCCCTGAAACGTCACTTCTGTAATTATGATGTGATGGCTGAATAAAGCTTTGGACCCATTCTGGAGATTCTAGATGTACTGGTGACATACTTTCTGCTTTCAGTACCTGAAATAGGTACTGCACCCTATAGTAATCCTGGCATGCTAAAAAGGATGTGGGCATTGCCCTTGTAATAAAAAGGAAAAAGGTAACATGCATTCTAAACCAAACACAATTGGTTAAAATAAACTTTTTGTACTCACTGTAAAATCCTTTTCTTGGAGACCATTAGGGGACGCAGGAAGTAATCTACAAAAGATATGTAGGCCAGTTTAGGATAATCTCTCCTATACCCAGCATACCTCCATTTGTAGCAAGAGCATGACTATACAGTGAAGGAAATAAGTATTTGATCCCCTGCTGATTTTGAATCTTTTCCCACTCACAAAGAAATGATCAGTCTAAAAAACCGAATGATAGGTGTATTGTAACAGAGACAGAATAGCAACAAAAAATTCAAAAGAAATGCATGTCTAACAAATTATGCACTGATTTGCATGTTAATGAGGGAAATAAGTATTTAATCCCCTTCAAAAAACATGACTTAGTACTTGGTGGCAAATCCCTTGTTGGCAATCACAGAGGTCAGATGTTTCATGTAGTTGGCACCAGGTTTGCACACATCTCAGGAGGGATTTTAGCGCACTCCTCTTGGCAGATCCTCTCCAAGTCTTTAAGGTTTGGTGGCTGATGTTTGGCAACTCGAACTTTCAGCTTCCTCCACTGATTTTTAATCATATTAAGGTCTGGAGACTGGCTAGGCCACTCCTGGACCTTGATTTGCTTCTTCTTGAGCCACTCCTTTGTTGCCTTGGCCATGTGTTTTGGGTCATTGTCATGCTGGAACACCCATCCATGACCCATTTTCAATGCCCTGGCTGAGGGAAGAAGGTTCTCACCATAGATTTGAAGGTACATTGCCCCGTCCATCGTCCCATTGATGCGGTGCAGTTGTCCTGTCCTCTTAGCAGAAAACAACCCCAAAGCAGAATGTTTCCACCACCATGTTTGACAGTTGGGATGGTGTTCTTGTGGTCATAGGCAGCATTCCTCCACCTCCTCCAAACACAGCGAGTTGAGTTTATGCCAAAGAGCTCGATTTTGGTCTCATTTGACCACAACACTTTCAACCAGTCCTCCTTTGCATTATTCAGATGTTCAGTGGCAAACTTCAGATGGGTCTGGACATGTGCTTTCTAGAGCAGAGGGACCTTATGGGCACTTCAGGATTTCAATCCTTGTTGGCGTAGTGTGCTACCAATTGTTTTCTTGGTGACTGTGGTCCCAGCTGCCTGGAGATCATTGCCAGGATCCTCACGTGTAGTTCTGGGATGATTCCTCACTGTTCTCATGATCACTGACACTCCACGAGGTGAGATCTTGCATGGTGCACCAGACCTAGGGAAACTGACAGTTGTTTTGTTTCTTCCATTTGCGATTGATTGCACCAACTGTTGTCACCTTCTCACCAAGCTGCTTGGCATAGTTTGATAGCCCAGTCCAGCCTTGTGTAGGTCTACAATCTTGTCCCTGACATCCTTGGACAGCTTTTTGGTCTTTGCCATGGTGGAGAGTTTGGAATCTGATTGTTTGATTGCTCCTGTGGACAGGTGTCATTTATACAGGTAACAAAATGAGATTAGCAGCACTGCCTTTAAGAGACTGATTCTAATCTCAGCTTGTTACCTGTATGAAAGACACCTGATAGCCAGAAATCCTGCTGAATGATAGGGGATCAAATACTTATTTCCCTCATGAACATAAAATTTGGTGCATAATTTATTAGACACGCATTTCATTTGAATTTTTTGTTGCTATTCTGTCTCTCTGTGTAACCATACACCTACCATTCGATTTTTAGACTGATCATTTCTTTGTGAGTGGGCAAACATTCAAAATCAACAGGGGATCAAATACTTATTTCCTTCACTGTAGATCCAGGGAGATGAGACCTGAGTCCCTTAATGGACTTCAAGAAAAGATTTTATGGTGAGTACGTAAATCTTTTTTTTTTTTTTTTTTTTCTTTCTCATCCATTGAGGGTCACTGGAAGTCCTATACTGTCCAGGCATCCAAAAGCAGTCCAACTGAGGATATGGAAAACAGCAACAACAGGTAAAAAGCCAAAAGAGAAACTGGTCCAAGTTGCAGCTCAAGAGCTGCCTGAGGGACTGGTGCCCGAATCTGACACTGGATGGGGGCTGAACCCCCTGCCTGATAGGGGAACCTTCCAACATTGCCAGAGGAAGGATTTGGAGAATCAAACTGAAGGGCAGGACTAAGAAAAAAAAAATGGTCACTCAGCAGAGGAATGACTCAAAACAGAAGGAGAGCTTGGAATTATAGACCCAAGTGAGAGGATGGACACCCTGAACACATCAAGTGGTGGAACAAACATAAAATTCCCATTTAGGGAAAAAAAATCTCACAGCCTAATATGGTTAACAGGGAAAGGCATTAACCTCCTGGTAGGAACAGGTACCAGACAAAGAACCTATAGAAAATATTCTTGCAAAAGGAACACCTGCTGCCCCCCAGAGGACCACCCTTAGGTAAGACTAAGACCCACAGTACCATCCACAACAGGAACCAAATGACCTCTTCTGATGCATGAAGGACTCATGTTCTCCTCCATGGTGAGGATACAACAGTACCTAGATGGTGTCCAGCAGTGTCTGATCCAGGAAATCTGACCAAAGAGGGATCCAGCTAATAGAAGGAGCCCCCCCCCAGAGATAAGGAGAGAAGTCCTTATCTGCTGTCTGATAGGCAAGCTGAGTGATAAGACTAAGAACTACCTACTCCTTAAAAGTAGACACAAAGGTCTGCTCAGAAATGGGACCTATGACAGCAGGACGGGGTCTGGAAAGTGCCTAGTGCAAAAGCCAGTTCCTGAAGGTCAGTTTCACATCATCCAGTCCAGCAGGGTCTGGGTGCAGTACTCTAGAGTAGCTCTAGTGCCTAGCTGCAAAAGCCAGTTCCTGAAGGTCAGTTTCACATCATCCAGTCCAGCAGGGTCTGGGTACTCTAGAGCTAGACTGAGGAAAGGCCATTAGGGATAGCTGCCATGTAGAGGCCAGCTCACGCAGTGATGTACCATGATGACTTGACTGAAGAAAAAAGAAATAATCACAAAAAATGTTAACAAAAATATGGTTAGACTTTTTCCAACAGCGCTGCAGAATAGACTTCTATCCTCTTAGGACATTAGCAAAAAACTGACTCATTGGGGGGAGGGGAGAGGGGTTATCAGACTGCTCTACAGATTTTGTTTGCCTGTGTCCTTCAGAATTACTTGACAATATATTACTTCCTGTGTTCCCCAATGGAGGAGGAAGAAGAAAAGTTGTTTAACCAATTACAATTAATGAAGAAATATAGTTGTATGAAGTATACTGCTTGATAATATGTCGTGTACATGTGTTCTCTTAGCTGTGCATGTTTACTTGTTTTAATTGGTGCCCATTATGATCTTTGGAGTTATTAATATTGAAACTAGAAAGAACTGTGAAATGGAAGCTATGTGTGTGTGTATATATATATATATATATATATATATATGTGTATATATATATATAGGGAAAAAAAAGGCAGAGGCCTTTAAGACCAGTCACCAGCATTGCTTTTGGTATCCTTGCAGCTGATCTTTTTCCCTATTACCGACTTACCATGCCTTGTTCTGCACTACCACAAGATGGCTGCCTCCATCAGAGACAGAGGCAGGCCTTTGCTTCCTCATGTCAGAGCAGCCCCCCTCCCCGAAGACTGGTAGGGCAATAATCAGAAACCACAGGAGAGGTGCAGAAATCCACAGTATGGATGAAGTAGAAGGAGGAGATATTTTTCTGTAGGTCCTTGGGGACCGATTTCTCTTTAGCAAGGAAACCAGTGAGCAGTACAGTAGTGACATCCCCAAATCTCACTCCAAATCTTCTGAGACAAGCAGTTAGAGGCAGCAGTACCTCTCCCACAGCCGATTTACAGCTATGAGGCCCAATGCACAGGACCACCCAGGTACAGGAAGTGCACTTTTCTTTTCCCCCAGAAAGAATTGATGACAAAAGGTAAATCTTCAAGGGTGCTGCTTAGTTTCAGTTAATATTAAAGCGCACTGTTTGTATATATTTTCCCTGCCTCTTACATTTGGATATATCTCTTTCTAAGCTTTTTCTACCTAGGCCAAAATGCAGTTTGCCCAACTTCTCTCCCTCCAGTTTCTGCACATGCGCAGATGTGCTTAGGGGCTTCTGGTCCTGACAAGAGACCTGTGGAAACCATGTGCGTGCGTGTGCCTCAGGACTTTGCTAGAACTCGAAGGCCAGGCAGAGCCAATTGGAACATCGGTGCAAGTTCCAGACCCCTGGTGCTCAGCATGTGGTCCTTTGGACCTCAGGACTTTGCCAGAACCCAAAGGCCAGGCAGAGCCATTTGGAACATCGGTGCAAGTTCCAGACCCCTGGTGCTCAGCATGTGGTCCTTTGGTATATGATGTGTGCACATCAGTGGTCTGTAGTGAGAACACTGACTAAGGTAATAGCTTTGATCTCTGCCAGCCTCATGTAACATTCCCAGATTCATATTGTCTTCTGCAGCCAAAACTGTAGCATGTCCACACTCTCTGACCATCATTTGCTCTATTAGGTCTGCAGTTTATGAAAATCTTCTCAAGTATTACATATATTGAACAAAATGCGCAGCCCTTTGGTGATGTCAGGGGCCACATTTGAGGCCCTCTTTAGCTCACAAGGTGACAACCACTGCATCCAGACCAATAAAGATGGCAGTTCATGAGGGACGGGGGCAGTGCTAAGGTAGACTGATGAGGTATACCCTATAACCATAGAATAGCAGGATTCCAGGCTGAAGTTCATTACATGGCAATTTGCAAGTTATTTTTATTTTTGCAGCATGCTCATCAAGCTTTGTCTGAACAATGTTTGGCAATAGGTGAACAGTCCATTGATACCTGTGTGTTTTGGTCTCCAGATTCGTGGCAAGCTCTGCGGCTGACAGGAATACTGTGCCTTGGTGGGTGGGCTGTGAATTACCTGCCGTTCTTCCTAATGGAGAAGACTCTCTTTCTTTATCACTACCTCCCTGCTCTGACCTGCCTTATTCTCCTGTTGCCTCCGCTGCTTGAACACATTCACCAGCACCTGCTTAGGTAGGTCTACTGGCCACTGTCTCCCTGGGAATGGAAGTAAGTAGTTATTGAAGGGAAACTATGTTTTAGGGCAATTTTATTTTACATTTATAAGGTTGTAACTGTTTTTAGTTTTACAAACAAAACATTATCGCATATCATCAGCCAAAGGAAGAGCTTCTATTATATCTGTATATTTTGGGCCGTGTATGACATTTCTCTTGCATGACTCTAGGTCTGAGGCTCTGAAGAACACATTCTCCTCTCTGCTTTTGGTCTGGATGTCCAGCGTTTTTCTGACTTACCGCAGACTATGTCCTCTGACGTTTGGAGAACCCGCGCTACCAGCGGCAGAACTCCGGAATCTACGTTGGAAAGACACATGGGATATTCTAATCAGGAAACAGTGATGCTGGATTAAGGGACCATGATCAGTACTTGCACAATGGCTGCAGTGAGTCCATGAATGCCAGATGACATGATGGTGGCTGCGTGGTGAGAGACTAGTATTCTCTACCTCTTTAGAGTTTCACAGATGGATTGTGTTAGGTATGTTCGTTAAATGACTTGCATAGGTTTGAGAACCTAGACCAGAGGTTGGCTATATATGTTTATTATTGCCTGGTATGCCAAAGTGCCACCCAGGGCAACAATACAGTTAACCAGCAAGCCTGTTGTCACCAGCAAAACCTGCCGTGTCCTTTTGGTGGTTCTGTACAGCTGTAGTTTAGATTAAGGAAGCCGCACTGTTTTAGGCTTAGATAAATTATGGCCATCAAGAATGAGACTTAACAGCTGGCATGATTAATGTGTTTTTACAGCCCACCTAAGGTGTAAATAAAAAAACAACTATGGCTGTAGAATGAATAGGAAGCAGGAAGCATCAGTGTAAATTACGGTTTGAAATAGAAAATTTGTTAACCAGGGCCAGTCTGAACGCTTCTCCCCCAGAAACAGGCTCCAGAGAGGTCCACTGGAAGTGGTAGGTGCCTCATGTCGGACCACCACTCACAGATAGCAGGGGAGCCATTCGACTATTTATAACAGTAATATGATTGCATTCAGTCATCAACGGTTAGTGGCCTGATCTGATGGCAGTCATCACATGCCTCAAAGCGGTATGGAAACCAAAACTGTAATCTATTGCAGCTTATCAATTCTTCAAGGTGGCGGCTGTAATAGTTTCTTTATTTTCACCTAATGATCCAGCCAGTAAAACTGTGTATACACAAGTAGAATTTCATTTGACATTTCTTGTGAGAATTTAATTTTTCTCATCACTTCTGGGGTCAAATCTATGTTAATTTTCTGCTACAGTGATGAGAAAATTTGAAGAAGGATGGAAATTTTTTATTGAATGTACAAATTTCTAACAAGGTATTTGGTTTTCTCTGGTAAAGTCCAGTCAGTCCAAAATCAAATGTTAAAAGCAAACAAAACTATTTTTGAATGATATTCAAAATTCTACTAGTATACACTCGGCTTTAGTCCCGTATTTTTCAACTTCCTTTAACAGAGCAAACTGTGTGTTGAGATAAACCATTTAACACTGCCCGCGGTGCTTACTATAATCAGCTTTTATTTATGTACCGTAAATCTATCTCAAAACAAAACAGAAAAGTTTGCAATTAAGTTCAACTTTAATTTGTTAATCAAATCCATTTAAGGCCCCTTTCACACAGCCCCGCTGCAGGGGTACAGCACACAGTATTTGTGGTTTTAATGTGGTTACCCCCTCTCTCATAGTCTTCTATTAAGACTTTTGGTGTACTTTCAGAAAGTTCACCAAAAAACATCTAATATAAGTATGGGTAAGCCACATGAAAACCACAGATACACTATGCTGTCCCCAGGCTTTGAAAAATCCACACAGGGGCGGTGTAAGAGTCCTAAATCTGCTAGTTCAACTAACACTATCCTCTCCACTGATTACCAGTGGCAGATATAAAGGGATCTCTATTGCTCCTCCAGTGGAGTGAAGCCACCCTAAGACAAAGTGTGTTTTCTGGTTGGGTCACCAGGTGAAACTAAAAGAAAAACTAATGCAGCCACCCCATTTATAAATTGGTACGCTGCAATTTATTACTATGTTCAGACTAGAGCTACATGAAAAATTAAATCTCTTAGCTGCTTGGCATTATTTGCTGCATCCTGAATCCATCTGCTGCTATTTAAAAGATGGGCGGCAATCAGCAGATCTTGAGTCGCTCATGTAGACCTAGGCTTAATCTTAGTCAAGGATCGACACTTCTTCACACTGGTGTTTTTTCCATCACCTCTGTCCCATTGCAGTAGAAGTACAGGAAGAAATGAGCTGTATTGAATGAGTGATGGGGATCTCCATTATATGAGATGGAGCCTTGCTTCCCCCATTATTAACCACTAGCCACCCGGCCTATGGCCGAACGGCGGCCTGCAAAATCCCTTAGCGTTCCAGGTGGACGCCATATGGCGTACTCCCGGGCATGCGCGCCTGCAGAGCCACGCAGCGGCGAGATCTGTCACCGGCCGTGTACCTCGGACACGGCCCATGACAAATCTGAGTACCGCCCCTGTTGCCGATACCATGTGACCTGCTGTGACCAATCACAGCAGGTCACATGACAGTTGTATACAATGGATAGCTTCATTCATGCCATCCATTGTATACTAGAGTGTGTAGCTGTGATTGGTCATAGCGATCACATGCACAAGCTGGGCTAATCACAGCCCAGCTGTGTCATGTGATTAGCCGTGGCCAAATCACAGCTAAGCACAAAAAAAAAAAAAAAAAAACCCTGAATGAATCTATGTCATTCAGGTAAATGCTTGCTTATAGCAAAGTAATTCTTTGCTATAAGCAAATTGTGTAAAAAGAAAAAAAAAATACTGGTCATAGTGAAATATGAAAAAAAAAAATCTTAAAAAATTTAAAAATATATATTTTTTTCATACTGTCACCAGTCAGTGTCCCTGATCACCGCCATGCCAGTTATATGAAGACGCTGTACTGCACTGGTGACAGTATGTAAAAAAAAAAAAAAAAAAATGAATTGTTTTTTTAATTTTTTCATTTTCTGAAAAATTATTTTAAAAAACTCGCCATGCCTCTTATGAAGTACGTCGGACTGTCTACTTTGCAAAAAGGGGTCATTTGGGGGATATCTGTACTGTTCTGACATTCTTGGACCTCAAGAAATTAGATTGGCTGTCAGTACTTCAGGATTGATCAATATTCAGATATATTCCATAGTTTATGAACTCTAAAACGTTCCTACAGACTAAATATACATCCTAATTTGGGTTATTTTCACCAAAGACATGTAGCAGAATACATCTCGGCCTAAATTTATGAAGAACAATTATTTATTTGCAAACGTTTATAACAGAAAAAGAAAAATGTGGGTTTTTTTTCAAAATTTTCAGCATTTTTTTGTTAATTTAGCAAAAAAAAAAAAACCCCGGCGGTGATTAAATACCACCAAAAGAAAGCTCTAGTTGTGTGAAGAAAATGATAAAATTTTAGTTTGGGTACAGTGTTGTATGACCGCGCAATTGTCATTCAAAGTGTGAGAGCGCTGAAACCTGAAAAATGGCCTGGGCAGGAAGGGGGTAAAAGTGCCCGGTATGGAAACGGTTAAAACCTAACACCAGCCAAAAGTAGGGAATCTATAGAACCTCATTCAGATTTTTATTGTAGTGAGGACAGAGGATGGGAAATCACTTTATAAAAAACATTGGCTGGAGTTGGGCTTCTAAAGGTTTTCTTTTAGGCAGCTTCTGGTCACTGATGTATAACATGAGGCATCAGCAACTGCTGGGAGCCCTGATCTGCCCAGCAAACCAGTATGTGCTTGAAACAAGAGGAACGCAAAATGCCTTTTCCAACACACCCCACCCCTCCGCAATGCTTTTACTATTCTAGTGGTCTCTTGATACCAATAGAATATAGTACATCATAGCAGGGGGGGGTGATAGAAAAATAGTTTTGCCTTCTTATTAAATGTTGTGATCCCACACTGGTTTGCTGGGCTGGTCTCACACTGGTTTGCTGGGCTGGTCTAACAATCAGCCCAAAAAGGAAACACTAAACAAAAGGTCTATACAACTTTTCATTTTAATGAAGATTATTGACTTTGTGTGCAGAAGACATACAAATGCATAGACATTAAATACAGAAAACACATATTAAACTGTTTTGGTTGTAAATGTGTTGTTTCTACTGCTAACAAGTTCTCCATCTGACATAGAAGAATATAACAGTCTATACAAAGAAGTGACATTCATAGTCACTACTACCAACATGTACTGATAGTGATTGCTTCTGGTGAACCAATACAGATTATTTTCCACCTACAATGACAATATTTAAGAAATGTGTTCACATCTTGCTAATTTATTAAAAAAAGTGTGGTTTTGTTTCTCTTACTCCCTTTAATCACTAAAGCAGTGCAAAGCGTAATGAGAAAGTATGATCTGCTTCTTCCCTCATCCATGGTCTGTGTACTGCTTTAGTGTTAGAGGAGTGAGGTTTGTTTAAAAAAAGTAATCCCCTCATTCTAGTGTAAAGGTAAACTGCAAGGACAGCTGTTATTGGTCACAGCTGGGGCTGTCATTACCCAACATCCCCTAGGAGTGGTGCTATTTCTGGGGCAAAACAGGGCCTCATGCACACTGGACATTTTTTTTTCAACTGCTGCTAGGGGCATCTGTTTTTCTGCCTCTAAACTCCCCTGTATGTTAGCCTATGTGTCTATGCACACAGGCATTTAGAGACAGAAACCCACTCCTAGTGCATCTAGCAGCAGCATTTTACAAAGAAAAAAAAAAACCCCCCGCTTGACACCTGTAAACATGCATTACTGGTAATTAACTTCAATGCCCAGAATAAATTATTATTTTGGCCAATGAAATAATGCCCAAGTGCTAGATAAGTTACAGACTTTTATAAGGGTTGAGCACTTCCTATTGCTGTCAATTGGGATGCATCTCAATAGACAGTAATTGGACTACATGGAACACATAGCCCTCTGCGAACAAGGCCTAAATGTCACAGGCCAAGCAGTTCTATGGTCAAATATCCTACAACTCATAGATCTGCTGCCACAGAAATGCCTGACATTAAAAGCAAGGCATTTAAACATCCTCCCTCAGAACAAACACTGTAAAATGCTCCTGTTAGACAGAGACTCCTCTTCTGTTCCTCTCTGTTACCACAGACCCAATGCAAGTACCCTCATAATGGCACTGCAGGCATCATGCATTATCTGCAATTACACAGGAATAGTAAACATCCAATATTGAAGACAGGTACTCTTTGAAGAACTCCACTCAGAGCTATTTGATCCTAAACTGGCCACATAACAAATGTTAGAGCATTAAAACACAACAAACTCACTTTTAAGAATGAAACAGAAAGCCCTCTTTTAAA